TATTGAGCAGAATCTGTATGGTTTTGACATGTGTTTGAGTTACGGCAAACCGGAATCCCCAATGAGACGCTGAGTTTAGCAGGCCAGGCGGGTTTAGGGTTTTAGGGCCTAATTTTAGGGTTTAATAATAGGCTTTACGGGCCATGAGTGCGAATCCTCTTGCCCAACCTGCCTGGCACCTCTCAGAAAGATCCACTTCATATGACCTATCAATAGCATGAAAAAGCTGTGGGCCATCGATCGTTTCTTTTGACAGGCAACTTGAGTCACTTCTTGGCCTTGAGCACATCTGCTTTGCGGACGTACCTTTGGCGTGCCGCCTTGGCCCACGTCTGGAGCCAATGGCGGCGAGCTTTGGCACTGCCAAAGTCTCCTCTCTCCCATGAGCATGCTCGAAAATGGGCTGACAGGGACTGGTTGCGAGGTTTGCCCTTCTCGACATGGTCTAAAAAAGCGGCCAAAGCGCGATCGAACGTCTTTTCGTCAATCTCGCAGGCCTCCAGATCGCCCTTAAAGCATGATTCTTCAATCAACGCCTTGATCCCAGATCGAGAGTCTAAATCGAAATATTCGTCCTCAGAAGCTTCCATCTCTTCAGGCTGGTCTGGCTGCTTCGGGACAACAGGCTCGGTCGCGGGCTCCGGCTTTTTGGTTGCAGTCGCGGCAGTCCCTGTCCCTGTAGCTTGAACCTTGCGTCGTCGCATATCAGCGAGAAGGTCTCCCATGAATCGTTTGCGTTCTTCGCGCTGTTCTTCCGGCACTTTTTCCAGAATTGTCTGCACGGCTCCTGAGGTGTCCGCGTCCTTGACCTTCCCTGCAGCACGGGCTCCCTTGGCGACAGCTGCCATGACAGCCGAGTAGTTCGCATTCTCGTTGCCGCAGTGCCCGCACATCCGTAAATGCGTGGGCGTGAGCTTACGGCATGTCTGACACACCTGCAGGGTAAGATCGGAATGAGTGTCCGAGATCTGGTTAAAGGTCGAGGGTCTAGAGGTTCCAATATAGTGTCTGAAAGCTTTACAGCACGTGGCTTCAGATTGACAGAAAGGCAGGGCAAGATCGGTATGTGTATCCGCTTTAGGGCGTAAGGTTTAGGGTCCGAGGTTTAGCGTTAAATCGCAAAACCTCTTCAGTACAGGGCCTCAGATTTGCGGCCGGCCTCTGTCCGATTGGGAATCGTGTACGCGCCAGGCAACAAGCTTGCTGCCTCCGCCGTCTCCAGGGCCACTTCCTTCTTGGGAACTTTTGAGCGCATCAGCTCTGGCGCGCGGTCTACGAGGAGCGTGTTGCGCTGAAGTGCACTCTTTGCCACAATCCCAGTCTTCTTGTAGCCTCTTTCTATGAGCGGGCTGCAATATGAGTGATCCCAAACATCTCGTGCTGCATGCAGCGCTCCGAGAGGGCTCATGTCGTGACCGGAGGCTACGAGCTTGTGAAACCGGGCCTCTGCCGCCGCATTGCAATCCTGTCAAGCAAAATAACACCCACACGAGAGGGTGTCGGAGATCGGCTTATAGGGCTGCTGGGTGTTGGGATTCCGAGAGTTTTCACGGTTTGTCATGCCTCAGTTTGGGAGTCGACAAGGCTTGGGAACTGCTCAAAGGCAAACCCCCATTCTCGGCTCGAGAATGGAGGTTTGCCTTTAGAAAAAACACCCAACTTGCTTATCTGTGCTTAAAAAAAGCCTCTATCTACAATGGGACTCATGGCGATATGAGTGCAGCCACGCCTGGTCCAAGCTGCAGAATGCCGCTGTGGTGTTCGCGGCAAAAAACCAGAGTCGTATGGCAAAGTGCTCGGCTACCAAAGAGGCATCGGCGGATATATGAATCTGCGACCCGCCCCCACTGTCGAGGAGAAGGAGTACCTGCCGCTCCTTGGGCAGCTGAAGGTCGTTCCTGATCCAGGCACCAAACTCAGCAAGAAAGTGAACGAAGGAGGAGGTGGTAATGGAGCCCTCGTCGCTGGGCACAATGCGTGCCCCTGGCCACACGTCGGCCCATGCCCTCATGGAGACTTTGCCTTTCACTGCTACGAAAGGCTTCGCACTTTTTCCGCTCAAACTGACACACACGGCAAGAGGGATATGTGGTGGAAAGACCGTTCTGAGGTTTCTCGTGTGCATGGAACGGTTTTGATGCCGATGGCCCGTTGATTCTTCACCCTTGCTTCGGGCGCTCCAGACAACCCTTTCTCGTCGCATGTCCAGATGTAGTCGCCGGCCTCTGGGGTGAGGCAGCCCGTAGTTTCGCACGCAAGGTGCAGCTCCTTGAGAACAGTGTCAAGCTGATCAAAGTGCTCCCGGATCGATGCTGGGTTGATCGCGCTGGCTTGCGCCGAGCTCCTCACGGACAGCGGCAAATAAGAACATGAAGTGACTCCCTGGTTTGCGAGTCCAAGCCTAGACAAAGCTGCAGCACTCCCGATCTGATGCTCTTCGTGACACAACAACACTCGGTGTCCTTGCTTTGATCCGCTTGTTGACAAGCCCCAGGCGGGCCGGATAGTTCTCGCGGACCCAGCTGCGCCAGTCCTGGACGCGTCACAGAACATACAGAACTGTCCAAGAACGCGGTCGCCTGACATTGAAGCTTAGGGCTTGTATCAAAGCACAGGGTAACGCTCCATGGCTCCATATCTGTTCGCCTCCCACGTCACCGTAAGCAAACCATCACTCCGGCAAACCGACATAAGCCCGACCCTTGAAGTTCGTTTTTCACCCGCTCCTTATACACTGTCTGTATGGTGCTGGACATCTTGTCAAACAGCTGCCACGGAATGTCGGGATCCTCCAGACCAATCTGTCCCTGGTTGTACAGCACAAGCTTGAACATACTGCGCTTAATCTCGGCAGGGAATAACGACATGTTGCTCAGGGACATGGCATGAACGTGCCGCAGAAGATCTTTCTTTTGCGGCACCGTCAACAGGCCGCAGCCATACCGGCCTGGTTGAAACGTGTCTGCCACCCAATTCTCGTTCCGCTTCTCCTGACGGCAGTTGCTCATGAACTCCTTGACCCGTGGCAGCTTCAGCCGGTTGATGTGGTACGCTTGCAGCTTGTCTTCCACCTGCAGCGCATTATCCGGCAAGTGGCCGGCTTCCATCAAGTGCAACACGTCCAGGTACAGCAAGTGCATGGTCTGGGCATTGGTCTTGGCGTAGTCTTTGGGCGAGGGGTGTTTCTGAAGGTCAGCTTTGACAGACCTCCAACGTTTGTGAAAGGCCTCGAGCGAGTCCACGCGAGTGCTGTGCAAAGGCTGCGGCCCCTCTAGCTCCTCCGGCATGCGCTTGCATTGCTTCTCAGTGGACAAAGGGCTGGTGGCTGCTGGCTGTTTGCTCCTCTTCGGGGTGCTAACGTCCCGCTGCTCGGTCTCCGGTGCACCAGCCACATACGAACCGTAGGAGAGCTTCCACTCCTCTCTCGCTTCTTCGGTCATTGCCTGCCACTCCTTCCGAGCCGCTGCATTCTCCACAGTTTGCCCATCGAAATTCTTTCCCACGGCCGCACATACCTTACTGTACCAAACGAGCCAACCAGTTTTCGTCGGTTTGCCTTGGCGCATTTCGTGCGCAGTGTGCTCCGCGAGTACTGCAACACGGGGAGGAGAGGATGGAGGCGGATTACGCGTTTCGCTAGCAGGCTCAGAGGGAGCAGAGACTGCGTTATTCCCACAGTCAGCGTGCGCTTCTTGTTCGGGAGGTTGGGCAGTGCGTGGAGAAGGCGCATAGTGCGTATATCTCATCAACCGCCACAGTGCGGGGAGGGGATGACGGAGGCGGCAGTGGCGGCTCGCTGGCCAGCTCAAAGTTACCACAGGCTGCGTTGTTCTTGGCCACATTGTCCCAAAAGCACTTCTGGCAGTAACCGGGAATACAGCTGGCGGTTTCCTTTTGGAGAATTAGCCCGCAGTCAGCGCAGGCCGTGTCCCGACTGGGCAGGGCGCCAAAAGCTTCAGCCACCGTTGCAGGCGAGCGCAAACGCTCCTGCTCGTCGGCCCCAGCCGCAGCTCCTGCAGGGAGAGCAGGAGCACACTCAAACAAGGGATGAACTTCTACATATATCTCAGGTTGTGAGTGGTTCTGGACGAGGGAGTCTGCTCTCGACCAAACAGAGTGACCGAAACGGCTTTGCACATAGACAGCTATTGCTAGCCAGTGAGCCGCGCGAGCTCCTGTTTCCGACATGTAAAACCAACCCTTGGTCCTTGCCTCCACCAGGCTTGGCAGCATCAGCCTCTGCCTGTCAGGGCTCCCGACATCATACTTGGCACCCTCCTGAAAACCCACGAGCTTCACACTTCAGACCCCAATACCGTCAAACCCATACACCCTGCCTCAACCACCTTCTGCTCCACCTGCAGCTTGGAAGAAACCTACCGCACTCCCCGCGCGCGCCTGTTGCGTCGCATGTCCAGCCACCGCCAGCTCCACATGCTGAGTGCCCATCTGCACGTCCTGGAGGGTTTCAGGCTTGAGCATCTTGGAAAATGCCCAAAAGCAGACCCCACTTTTCGGCCCGAGAATGGGGATTTGCTTTTTGGGGGTAGGGGGAGATGTCTCTCAGGTTTTGCGGCTTCGCTACCACAGCTCCACAGGAAGCTTGATCAGCTCCCATGATCCCCAGAGGTCCAGCCGCACACCCCGAAACCCCAACACCGGACCCCACGCTTTCAAGCCATAGACCCTCATGCATTGAATGCCTCGACCACCTTCTGCTCCATCTGCGCCTGCGAACAGGTTGTTAAAGTTTTCGGGTTGACGTTGGACACTTTGGGAGGGCTTACGGGATCGGCTTTAAGGTTTGGTGAGTGTTGGGATTCCGAGAGGTAGCGTGACGGGGTGTTGTGGCTATTCGAGCCGGTGCTAACGCTTTGTGATGCCTCAGATTGGGTTTTTAGGTTTTAGGGTTTACCTGGAAAACCATAGTTGCGCACAAAAGTTGTGACCAGTCACTGGTGGCATGTTTTTTGGCAGCTGCAATTTTACGACTCGTCTTGTATGGCTGGTGGGGCCAGTGTATGTCATATTATTGGTATGAGGGCCTCGAAGTAGACGCGTTGAGCCACCATGTCAATGCTGGTATTTTACCGCACATGCTGCTCTTCAGGTTCAGGAAAAGGCGCCGCAAACAGGAATGCTTCGCTCGTGCCGATGCTTGTGGTTTGGCTTGTTGCGTGCCCAGTTGCATGTTGGCCACGTTCGAAACGATCCGGGGTCTCTGAACAAGACGTGATCCTGTCCCTCTTTCACTGGGTGGTCAACATTCTTAATGCATGATGCTAGTTGTGCAATTGTTTTGGTAGGGAAAGCATAGACATGATGGATGTGTTCTCACTAGTGCGATGCTATACGAAACGCATATGTGCAGTGCCTGGTTGTTGTGAACAGCCTCCAAGCGTGGACGGCAAGTGCTCACATGATGGGCAAAATCGCACAACAACACGACCTACGCTTTTCTGCGCCACTCCTACGGCTTTCTGCGCCACTCCTACGGGCTTCTGCGCCACTGCCGCTTCGTATAATTCCTGCGCCATTTTGCTAAAAAATGCTCGAACGGGGTCCTGCCACGACATGATAGAACCAATCAGCGTGCGACACACTGACCACCAAATCATTGACCAAATCTGATATTCAATAGTTATTCTACTTTCCGACACTTTCATGCCTGACCAACAGGGACGACTTTCTGTGGGCATGTTCGGGCCTGCAGGCTTACATGGAGAAATGACACTAAGTTAAGTTGTATTCTCTGAGCACCATTTTCTCAATAAAAGCACAAAGCTTGATCGTGTGTCGGGCGTGACGTGGCCTCTGCATGGTTCAAAGACAGCGGTACCGCTCAAACTTCCACTTTGTACGGTGGAGCATGCAATATCATGCAACTAGCATTTGGCCTTTTGGCTTTGTCACTTGCTAGGACCTCGTGAAAAAAACGATTTGTAGAAATATTTGCATCAGCAGTGCGCAGTGGCAAGTTTTAGCCGCGGTTGCAAGAATTCCTGCCACTGCCACGTTTTGCACCAGTGGCAAAAAAAGTGCGCAACTATCGCGCTCCAGGTAGGGTTTAGGATTTTAGGGTTTAGGGTTTAGGGTTTTGGTATAGGGTTTAGGGTTAAATCCTTAACCCTGTATCTGTACGTCAGAGTTTGGTTCTGATGTGTTGTGAAGGTGTTCTTATGGAAGATCGGGCCTTTGCGGAGGGCTAGTCAGTACCCTTAGGAGTAGTAGTAGTAGTAGTAGTAGTAGTAGTAGTAGTAGTAGTAGTATAACCATCTGCGTCCTTAACCTGCGCCCCGATTTTCGCCCACTAACCCATCTGCGTCTGCGTCCTTAACCTGCGCCCCGATTTTCGCCCACTAACCGACCTGCGTCCTTAACCTGCGTCCCGTTTTTCCCTGCTAACCCTGCGTCCCGATGGTTTTGGTGCCAAAAAAAACACGGTGAAGGCAAGCG